ACCATTTGGTGACAAATGTGACATCTTTTCTTTCCTGAACAGACGTGTGCCTTGGTATTATTGGTACGTATGGTTTGTCCACAAGTAGGGCACAATCTCAGGAGTTGACATGCACATTTCCGCTGTGAACCTTGTGTCTTCAAATGTTGTTGGTAACAGGCAGGACTGACAAACGTTCGCTGATAAGCAGAGCAAAACACTGGTTCTTGTCCTTCGTCCAAACAGGGTTTAGAGGCCAAACATCCCTCACATTTTGATCCGCAATGTTTGTGTTGCTCTCGATTGTTATAACCATAGTCACATTTCTGACAGTAATAACTGTAGGACAGGAATCCAGTGATACTGGTAATGGCATCAAAATGTTCATCGGGATGATAGATGTGAATGTATTTTCCGTCTTTGAAATCTTTGCCTCGAAACAACAGAGGTCCGCGCACTTCTTGAGGATACACTTTTAAGTTGTAACGTGGAGCCAAAACGTCTTGAAACTTTTGCATTTCAGGAATGCCACAGGGTGTGTCTTTAGGTAGTCCCGCTTGCTGTAATAGGAGTTCTGCCTCTCTTGGTTGTTTGGCTTGGTACGATCGTTGAACAGTTTTCCAGGCTCTTTTCCATTCTCGCGTGTTATTCTTTTCGGCATACATTCGTCCCACTACGGTGGCACGGGCTAAACACATTTTGTCTTGAGGATTGTTAATTTGGACGATATTCTTTTTGATGCTGCGAAGGTTGTCTACCAATAGCACTTTTTTTGTCATGTCCCGTCCCTTGGGGAAGAGAAATTTGGGTCATGAACAGTGTCACTTTTCCGTCGGTGATGTGAAACTTGTCGTTGGATTGCTGCAAGTGTTGAATTTTGTCGATGATTTTGGAAGGTGTCAATTCTGATGGACTGCTAAACTCGATCCATACGGGAGACTTCAAATTGTCGTGATGACTGGAAAGTCTCAAGCGATCGTCTTCTTTGGCTTCACATTGCTGTTTCAGATTCGTTAACAAAGAATCCCACACATCAGTGATGAACTCTTCTGCTTTCTCCAGTGGTACGTCGGACTTGAAATCTTTAAACTTCACCGTGTACGTGTGGGCTGTAGTTCTAAATTTTCTAGAGGATCGTTTGTCCGTCTCTCGAATGTGATAGTAATTTTTAGGGTCTACTATTGGTACTTTATTTTGTTTTGCTGTAGACTCCCTGGGTTTAGATTCTGGTTCACTCATCTCATCTTCAAAATCACTGGCATGAATCTGAGCCAAGACTTCGGCTACTGTGTGAGGCGATAAATCACGTTTCTGCCTCTTACTTTCTTTTTCTCTCTCACTGAAATCGTGCGATCGTTTCATCTTGCTTGAGAAAAGTGAAAACACTACATTTGAAATACCAAGGACTTTATATATTCATGTCAAATCAGTGCATATATAAAGGACTATTGTCTCCCCTCTCAGTATTCATTTTGCTCTCAAGCTGACCAGTGCGATGGAAGAACCCACACAAATCGAACTTCTCATTAGAGCTTTACGAGGTGTCATACGAAAGTTTTCGCCAGACAATCCAACGGACTATTCTTCCTCTTTTTGAGATAAAAGTCAAGATACTTGCTATATCTGTAAGAATAAAGGGCATTGGGCTACAAAATGTCCAGACCGTCAAAAAACCAGTGTCAAAAAAGACAAAAGTCGCGATACCTGTTATCATTGTAAACAGAGAGGACATTGGTCTACAGAGTGCCATAAGAAACAACAACAGGAGCAGGAGAAGGAGGAAGAAGAGGAAAAGGAAGAACCCCGAGACATTGAGAAAGAGAAGAAAAGAAGGAGAGAAAAAAGGGAGAAAGTGGAAGAGGAGGAGGAGGAGAAGGAAACTGTGAAAGTGAAGAAATTCAAAAAACAGAGAGAGTGAACCAAACACAGACAAAGAAGAAGTCTATGAACTTTTTTAAAGAAGTGTTGTGTTCTGTTGTGAATTGAATTGTAAAGAATTGTACCAGAATACACCAGATTGAAAGAAAACATAAGTGTCTCCTGGTTTTAATTTTTTAGAATAAGAGTCTACATTCACACACACACATACATACATACATACTAGGTTGATACAAGGGATTTTAAGTTTTAATTGATTTTTTTTTTGGCAAAATGAATATTATTTCTTTTCGAAAGTAGTGAGTGACCCTGAAAAGGACTGTTGAGTCTTTTGTTTCCTGAGAACACACTCAAGAACGAGATGCAATTCGCTTTAATTGCCTTAGGCCTTTGCCACGGCCTAGGCCAACTTGTGGACTTGCTCTTGTCAATGATTGAGTAGAAATTACTAATGGTGGTATCTCTGGTGTAGTCACAATGTTAGTCTGCTTGGCTCGGGAAGGTCTTTTTCTCTTCGGACGTAATAAAGAAGTCTGATACATTTCTTTCAGACTTCTTAACTCCGCTAAAATATCCAAGAGTATCGTGACCGTTTGAGTTTCACTGTTTTCCTTCTCTCCTGAACTTGCTTTCTTTTTACTGCTTCTTCTTCTTCTTGTCGTTTCCTTCTTGCCTCTTCTTCTCGCTGTTGCTGTTCAAGCAAAAATGCTTCTTCTGCCTCTTTCTGTTGCTGTAAAAATTTCTCTAATTCTTCTTTTTGTCTTTGTCTAAAATCGTTGACGCGTGGTAAAGAAGGAGATATTGGTGAAGCTACTGGTGCCGGTACAAATTCTTGCGAAGAGAAAAAATCGACTAAATCCCAGTTGAAATCAACCTCTTCGGGCAGTGATACTGTGTTCACTTTAGTAGCTGCTGCTATGCCATGGCTTTTCGTCTCCGCAGCCGGCGCACCCCAAGTCATTGTCTTCTTAGGTTCCGTCATGTTTGACCCAACCATGTCGCATCAATTCACTTCGCACGAACGCTAGTGAACGTATATAGGAATTGTGACGTCACAGTCAGCTCTCTTCGGATTGGAAGACAGACTCCGCGAAGTGACCGAATTTTATAACACGTATTGAGATTGGTCAACCATTTCAATCCGTTTCGATCCACTCATCTTCTATAAATACACACGGTTTACTTCATTCCCTTCACCTGTTCTCATCACACAAAAAATGTGGGCTAAAGTAGAATCATCTACCCTTGTATCATCGATACTGTTTAACCCGGACTATCCCATGTATGTCAGATCATCATGGGCTATTATCAAGATCACTGATACGGCCTTTTGGAAACGAAGGATTTATGTAGAAAGACAAGGGTGCTTAAAGAGAGTCCTCATTTACGGACCAGAAGTAAGAAGAAGTTTGAGAAAGAGAAGACGATCAGTGAGATGCCCTGTATGTCAACGAACTGGTGTTAACAACATAAATAAAGGCCCTTTTCAGGGCCACTTTTCATACCTCAAAAAGATTATACTTTTCAATAACAAATTGCCTGTAAGAGTTATAAAACATACATTTCACTACATTCACTAACACGACGAACGCTTGATGTCAAAGTACTTGACGAATGCTTGACGTCACAGTACTTACACATTGCTACACTGTTGACAAGTGTCCAGTACCGTGACGTTATGCCACCTGGGCCATTTCTCTTGTCGCTATACCAGCCCAGGGTGTGCTAATACAAAATTCCCATTGTCGCTATATTCCTTCCGCTGTGCCATTTGTCGCTATAAATCTTGTCGCTATTCTGCCGGAGACCATATTTTAATGATAACTCCCATTGTCTCTATTCTAACCCCCTTCACTACTTGTGTCGGTGTACATGAGTGTGTGTTATTAAAATTTGTCGACGTAGCTTTAATAATTATCGCTAAGATAATCTGCAGTTTGGCAGTTTTTATTGACTTCTAGCTTTGGGATATCATGCCACATATATTTAGCACCATATCCTGCCCTGTCACATTGTTCTGACACCATGACGACCAGATCTAATACTAAATTATTATTGCTACGCCCCAAGCGATGCAGCTGCTAGTGCCATGTTTATAAGTTTTGGCATGACTCGGCTGTGGTTCGAATCAGTTTCCAGCCACATCCGAGGAGAGCACTCTAATCACTCAAGACAGCTGATTGGTCAATAAATATTACATCATGTTTGCTGATCTTTCAGTTTCATTTGGACTGGCTCCATATGCCTAAACCGAATAGGTTCGCATAAACACTTAAATAATATATATATATATATATATATATATATATATATATATATATATATATATATATATATATATATATATATATATATATATATATATATATATATATATATATATATATATATATACATTTGTTTAACCACTTTTTTGATTCCGTCCATAAAAACTGCTATTGAATATGTTTCTAGATAATATTATGATAAAAGAGTTAATTCTACAAGGAATGTTAAATCGTGTTAACTCAGAGAAAATAAAGCACGGTCTTTAAAATAAGTACATGGAATTTCGTTGTTCTAGTTTGAACCGTTAGCCGTATCAATATTGCCAGCTCCGAGGACAAGATATAATTGACATTTACAATACGGTATTTGTCTTTATGATTTTGTTCCATACGTTTTATTATGTTCCATTTTACTTTAGTTTTCGAAAATCAAAGAAAACATGAACTATTCCGTTTCAAAATTTATCATGAATTTTTTAATTCTGGTATTTCTATTCTTTCAGTAGAGTAATTGCAATATCGTGCATGTCTGTCATCTGCCGTTTGGATATATGTGTGGGTGTCGATATCTGCAAGACCATTCATGTCTACCAACAATCTTCATGTTCGATAAGGCCCCTATCAGTGACAAGATGTTACAGGGGTTGGTAACCTTGTTCATAAAGAATCACGAACAAGATAAGGCGCTTTGGTCTTTTTCATTAAGATTTAAATTTTAAAGTATATTATATCTGTAGCTTAGCATCTGAATCAGTATCACATAAATATCAATTAGAAAACATAGCGAATTATGTATGTATCTTAATATGTCCCCATTTATCCATATTTATTGTATTCCATCCAAAGCTATATATGTGTGTCTGTCTGTTGGAAACCGCTCCAGTGGCCTAGTGGTTAGAGTGTCCGCCTCGTATGCGAGAGGTCGCGGGTTTAGACCCTGGCCGAGTCATATTAAGCACTTTAAAAAAAATATTGGTACTAACAGTTGCCTGTCTTGGCGCCCAGCATTACGAAGTTAGTGTTAAGACTGGTCGTCCTGGTGTCAGGACATTGTGATTGTGTGGGACATCATGCCACACGTCTGTGACATGATGCAATAGTGCTAGACATCACTAAAAAAACTGTCACACTGCAGACATCGTAGCGATATGACTTAAACAATGTTAAAGCTACATTAAAAATCTAAATCACACACACACATACACACACACACAGTCTATTGGACATTCTCATTGTTCGGCACTCTCTACCTCTAATTTTGCATTTCCCATGGATTAGTGTACTTTTCGAAGATATGAAAAGATACTTTCTAATTTCCACTCACGAATCATGAGTCCATACTGAGTAGGCGGAAAGCCAAAAATGAATAATTTTTTTGTCCCATTATACGGACGAAGGTTTGGCTAATGTGACCTAGCTACTAAACTTCTAATTATCCTAGGAGCATACAGTTTTAGTCGCAGTTACTATGCTGTATTATTACACAGGAAGAAATCGCCCCCATGCAGTTCAATATCGAATTTGGCCTTTGTGTATCTTTAAATTTCGAGTTATACACTTTCTGTTTCATTCTTAACAGTCTGTGTAACATCCTTTAAAACAATAAACCGGATAAAATGTGTATTGAAGAACGGGCTGTCAAAAAAAGTGCCCAATTATATTGCAATTGTCAGCAAAGCAGGACTATTCCTTGTAGACCGTGTCTCCAGTTTTCCAGTAAAGAGATGTGCGTAGTGCAGAAAAAAAACACATCTCCTATTTTCACTGAACGATTGAAATGGACTTTAGCACGAATATATGACATAAATTGGATGGAAAAAAGTAATTATAGCTAGTTCCTTTCATGTTTCATTGATTTTTATCTTTTATGATAATTACGTATTTGAAAATATTTTTGTGACGCTAAAGTGCTTAATCCTTTGCTGTTAAACTTCACATAGGGATATAGATCGTACTATTATAAATTTATAGCCTACTTGATATGGTATTCATCGACTTTCATCACAAATAGAATGAAAAGCTAATTCAAGGCCTATGTAATAAGCAAATTGAGCGAAAAACAAGAACACCAGATGCTTGTTTTTTTTTGTTGTTGTTTTTTTTTTCCGGCGCTGTAAGCATTGATTAAGTTAAATGTAATAATGAAACTAATTTATGACAATTTCCATTCGCCAAAATGCCAGTTTTACTCTTGAATTAAATTGTTAGATCAATTCATGTGTACTTTAATATATCGTCAATTATGAAACTTCCTCCAGTGATTGACTTAGTACGAATTACACATGGTGTAATCTATCATCAAGGAGCAGCACCTCTCTATGTAGATACAATCTAGCCAGGCCGAAACAAAAACAAATACAAAGTTTGGGTGACGCGACTATTGCATATCATAAACAAATAAATCTCATGTTGACTAACAGGACGAGTAGGTCAAGTTGCAAGGTGTCCGCTTCATAGTGCTTGATATTCATTCAAATAAAAGGGATGAGGTATATCCGGAAAATGTTTATCATTAGTAGGAACCGCCCTACACGTGCTGCCGTACCTACATTTTGTAAATCATTCCCTCATAATTGTGTCATGAACAAGAAAAAGTTTTCGATTACTGTTGATACCATAAAGACGAAATCAACGTTAAGCGCAACTTTCTTATTGAGATGTTTCACAAAGATAACCAATTGTATTGTTTATTATTGAAGATAACAAACTCTTACTTTCATATGTACATTAAATGAATATGTTATGTGAATCAATATAAATACCAATATTTTATTCAAACGACCAAGTAGTTTTTCAAAGATGAACAACTAATTATTCAAACATTCGCGTTGACAATCTTGGCAACGAAATAATTAAACGTTGCCACGAGATACGAATATCAATACTTGGACATCACTTGAACAAGCAAAGTAGACATATGACAGGAAGTTACGTTCAGACTGAGAAAGAGTTCACAAAGATTAAGGCAAATAACATCCTTTCATGAGAGAGAGAGAGAGAGAGAGAGAGAGAGAGAGAGAGAGAGAGAGAGAGAGAGAGAGAGAGAGAGAGAGAGAGAGAGAGAGAGAACATAAGAGTTTTTTTTATGACCAACAGCAACCCAATACAAAACAATAAGCTTGCTGTACAGCTGTACCCTGAAATCGCAGATCAAACCAGTTGTACACTGGCGAGAATACAATACTATTTATTCAACTACTCCATTATGTCTAAAAACATTAGTAAATATTTATTAACATAGAAAATAACATATACTAGATATGATCAGCATACACTAACACTTTAATAAACATTTCCTTTAAGTTTATATTACTGGAAACCTAAACAGTTTAACCCTGTTATTCCACTCGTTTTTTTTTTATTTTATTCTAGGTAATTAGTAAATTGACCATTCGTTACTTCTGTCACAATATATCAATATCAACTAAGAAAACAAGTCAAGTTCCGCATTGCAGTTTTATCATTGTCGTAATGGAATTCAAGGGAGCTAAATTGATAGAAATTTCAATTTCAATGTCTGAAATACAACACACTCTCTATTTGTTTATTCTAGCTAATAAATTGCTCGTTTTTTTTTTTGTTTTTTTTCCTGCATATATATCTTCTATGGACACACAAAGTCAAGCGTCGTATGGTATGATGGGAAATCTTATATTTTCACCTTCTCAGGATATATTTTTCACGTGTGAAAATAAATAAAGAATCATATATCAAAATTTATTCAAGATAAAGTCATGTTATCTTAAGATCAATAATGTAAAAGTAAAGCTCCAGATTTATGTTAGTTTCGGAAGACGGTAAACGTCTTACGATATATAGCATTTTGATGTTTAAATTCTCTATTGCACAAATCATTTGAAATTTTTCATTTTTAAAATAAGGTTAGGATGTTTCATTTCCAACACCTATTTACCGTATCAAGTACATTTCCAGCTGGAATATTATTTAACAGAATAACTGTTTAGACTAGATCAGCAAACATATAAATAATCTTTCTGCAAACAATATTTTTATTCTAATTAAGTTTCATAATTGCAACCAAACACAAATATTATATATTATTTAGGGCATCGTGTTTTGGTGATTGCTGTTGTAAGTTATTTCTCTGATAACAAGCACTTTTTATGTTTTAAACCGTGTACTATCTTCACTTTTCATAGAACAACTTCATAAACATATCTCGATGGGTACGTCTGAATATGCGATCTCTCTTTTATTTAATTTGCCGTTGTCTGCAGTTTCTACTAATTTGCAGTTTTAATTAGTACAGGAATCAATTGTTATGACTATTTGTTTTCTTTCTTTCTTTGATAGCTTTAATTACAATTTGGTACATACACTTTAATTACAATTTGGTGCATAGACTTTTTATACTTGATTTAAGAGCGTTAAAGAATACTCAGATAGCTTGGAGTTATTGTACTTGTTATGTATATTTAATTTGCATTGTTATTAGTTTAGTTATTTTTGTTGTTTTTATTTCATTATATGCAATTGTACTGTAACAACGTATATTGAACTTAAACTTGTTCAAAATCAAGTTCACGTTCAATTGACCTGAATTACTGTTATGTTTACTAAAATTATGTAAAGACTTAGTACATAGTTAAAATATAATCCGTGCGAATGGGTTTATCATCAGGATCATTATTAATATAAGAAATATCTTTATGTTAGTCTTGGCCTAGATTCTTGGAATTCTTTCACAATTTTCTTGGCGTGCCTGACAAAGTCCAGGTTGAATAATATAATTTTACTAACATATTTTCTAATTATAACTAACATTTTATTTTGTAAACATTAAGAAGTGTCCAGAAAGATATATTAAATTAGGCAATAGTTTGTTGTTTGTTTGCTTGTTTGGCTTATTTGGGATGGGTGAGGAGGAAGATGCTAATTGTGACGTGAGCACATGTAGAGGACTTGTCACTGGAAAGATTATTTGTTTGTACTTTAAGATCAATTTGTATTATGGTTGTGTCCAGAGGTTCATCTGGGCTGGAATTTATTTCTTCAATTTATTCAATTCAACCGGTTTTTCTTAGGAAATACTGAGTGCTCATACAAAGTATGATATTCTTGGGCAGCGACATATACTGGGACTTATAGTAAATACCGCGTTTCGTGAAAATACTGTTGGTACAAGAACAAGATACACGTCGTCAAAGGCACGTCAGCAACTTCAGCGTTGGGCTTAATTTGAATTTTTGTTGATGTTTATTCAGAATTTGCATTATTTAGGACTTTTGTCTTTAATTCGAGCATTATTTTTGAATTTAATTCGAAAATAATCATATTCTCTTTTTTATCAATTTTCAACTTGTATCATAGGGAAATAGATCAATAAACTATTTGTGGAATTTTAAATAGTGTGTTGCTTTACACTTTTTTAAGTTGCTTTTTTAAGAGCATATACTCGTAACATAACGCTATTAGTAAACTGTTGTGCTTTTGGCTTTGGAGCCTTTCCGTGACACAAAACTAAAACATCGTGACACAATATGATGATGTTTATGCCTTTATAATATTTCTGACGTTATGAGTTTTGTGCTGTTTTCTCATTAAAAATATATGCATTTTGTCAAGCTTCAAAAGAGTAATTGTATTATACTACATTTTCGGGTGAACATTTAATGCTTTATTTTCAATCTAACAAAGTCAACGCTTGATTATGTTTTAAGTTATACCGATACTAATGATATTCCGTCTTTGTAAGCACTACTTTATTTGGGTAATAAATAGGAAACCAGTCCAAATACTGGATCAGAATAAGGGGAAATTGACTAAAACTTCAAATGAGAATTAATCGTTTCATGTCAGTATTTTAATACAGGATTTACAACACACATATCACGTATTCCTTACTACAAATCTGCATCCTCGAGAAACATTTTCTCTTCATACACTACATTATATTATGTTTTACATCCCGTCAAGTGACATACCAGA